GAGCGTGAGGCTGCTCCTATCTGTCTATAGAGGGCCTCATCCGCTCGGTCTTCCTGGTCAGGTGGCCTGTAGCAGACCCCCGCCATAATGTCACCTGTGTATCCTGTGAGCTCTGTTCTGCGCCTCTGCTCTGACTACTTAGTTCCTGAGTGGACTGAATATAACCTTGAATAGTGAAATTCCACATTTCTAACTGGTATCCTGTGAGCTCTGTTCTGCGCCTCTGCTCTGACTACTTAGTTCCTGAGTGGACTGAATATAACCTTGAATAGTGAAATTCCACATTTCTAACTGAGTAACTCTGCTCCTGGAGAAGGCAATGAAGAACCTTCTTGGCATCTGCAGGTGTAGGATTAAATTTGAAATACCAGAAGACAAATCTAATGCAAAGCAGTAAATATAAGTATAAATATAAAGGTATATTTAAATACGTAAATACATATTATTTTATAAATATAAATAACTATATTTTTGTATATAACGCATTACCGTTTTATTCTGATAGGATAGCAGGGGTTGGTGTCACTGCAGAGATGTATATTTTAGAGGAGATTACAATTTTTCAGAATATGTAGCAAGTAAACAACAATAAATGTTATTTAAATATGCTTTGAAGCTTTCAGTTAAAGAGGCAAGACACATAGGTATGAATTAGATGTGAAGAAAAAGTCTCTGTTTAAATATTTTGTCTTTGTATTTTGCAAGGATCCTTGTCACAAAGTCAATTGCGGAATGTCATTAGACCTGCCATTTTACAACCCCCACAAGCCCTGACCTGTCCTGAAAATCCTGTAGTATTTCTAGTAACTAAGAAAGAAGCACGTGTTCAGGTAAAAAGAAAAGTAATTTTACTGGCTAATGTATGTTTGCAGCTCAAATTAAAAAAAAACCAGTGCTGTTTTAAAGCCGTTACCTATTCCACTGCATGGTTTTCAAGAAAGTTCCCGTATCAGTTTCAGTGGAATTGATGGATCACTGACATGGTGTGAACTGTTAAACTCGTGCTGACTGTGTTTGAAAAAATATCTCTTCTCTGCAGGCTGTCTCAACTCTCACATATCAGGGTTCTGTGGGCAAATCAGCTTTGGGGGTCTCTGCGTTTTATTTAGAAAGTAACATTTTAGCATTTTGATTAAGGGAACTGGCTTAGTACACAGCTGGAGGAAGCTCACATATATATCCCTCAGTGACTCTGGACTTCTTGCAGATCTGTTCATAGCAGAAAATAAGCTTGATCTAATTAATTAATCTGGTTTTATTATTCCTAGCTATCTGAAGACAGCTCTTATTCCTCAGCTGAGAGTTCAGTAAGTTCCAAAACAGCAGCGAGGTCATCTACTACCATGAATCCTTCTAGCTCTAAAACAACACAGTAAGTTTTTATTTATTATATTTCTACACCATTTTGTCACTTGGCCTATGGCGTGCCCTTTTGTCCTACATGGTACCAAGCCCATGCTATCTACACCCACACAGTGTTCACTGGTGTTTGTGTGTGGTGCCAGGATTTGTGGGTAGACATGAGCTGCATACGCCGTAAGAAATGGACTCCTGACGGAAATTAGTCTCTGTGGGACAGTTTGTTTCTCATTAGCAACCCCCAAGCCAGAAACTTTTGGTTTGCCATCTCATGCAGCTTTGGCAGTTCAAAATATGTCCCAGCTTTGAATGTTGACAGTCATCTTTGTGTCCCTTTGGAGAACTCTCTTCTGATTGCATAGCTGCTGCATCTCATAAACAGATGCAGAGTAACTCTGGAATTACCAAAATATGTCAGCATATTGGACACAGGAGACATGAAGAAAACCATACAGGATTGATGTGGAAGACAAGGTGAATGCTGCAACTGATGCTCTACTTCCGTGCACATGCCAGAATTTCTGGGCTGAACAACTAGCTGTGATTGTGATAGGGTGGCATCCTTGTGCAGACATGGGTTGACCAGCACGGACTTCAGAATTTCTGCATGAGGAAGCTGACTTCCTTGGACTAGGACGCTGCCCCATGCCCTTGCCTCTGTATATGACTGAAAGAGCTCACACTGGTGCAAAAGTGGGCTATCACCTCTCTCCGGAGACTGGCTCATGAAAATGTTAGGTCTGTGGTTAGCCAGCAGGCTATCTTGTGGGTATTAATACTGCTTGCTGATGGTTGATGAGGGTTATTTACCTGGAAGTTGTGAGCATCAGGAATACACCTGAGATCAGTTATGACATTTCATCCTCCTGAGAGGATGACATTTCAAAATTGTTAGGGCCACAGGTAAACACATTTGTGACGTTGCCTCCTTTCCCCTTCCCACTCAAAGAAGGCAGAGAACATGTTAACTGCAAAGGAGTCTGTTCCAGTCTTCAGGGCTGGATGGGCCACAGATAAAGGTTCCTGCACACAACATTTGGGATGCACAGTGCTGGGTTCTGAGGAGATGAGGGATTTTTAGATGCACAGACAACTTAGATTCTTAATGCTTATCAACAAGGAGAGCATCATCAGAGGGCAGATGCTCACTGTGATTTTGGAAGAGCCAGCCTGTCCTTTTCTATCACAATTAATGCTGTGATGATGCCCTGTGAGGACAACATGGAGCCATGCAGCACGCTGGATTTTTAGGAGATTCAGAATGATGGTAATGTGCATACTGGGAAAGCTGAAGGGAAGACGGTACTGACATCAGAATCAGTTGGTATCAATACTCCAAGTCTATTTACCTTCTGTCACCTGCACAATATCTAGGAAAAGATAGGTGAGTGGCTTTCTCTTGTGAAGTAGGTGGATAGAGAAACCCAATGCAGTGTTTCAGTGCTGACAAGTTACAAGACTTAAAAGTGCTTATGGTATTTCTTTTCCTTTTCTTTTTTAAAAGAGGAATTGCTAATCTGCTTGGGGTATTTGTGCCTCATTAATTCTGTATATCGCAATTGTGGTAAATGTTGGTTTATCTGACAAGTTGAAAACTAATTTAAATACAACTAGGTGCTTACTGCTCTTCTGAGACTGCAGGGGAGTGTTAAGTGCCATTCTTCTGATCCGTATTAAGGGACTGATGCTTTAAAATACTGCAGTAAAATCTTTTTGACATAGCTGTTTTCTCATAGATAACTTGACAACAAGTATTCAAAGGAACAACTTTATTAAGCTCCGTATACATGCTAAACAATAGTGAACATTGCAGCCAGACCTGCTTATTGCTAAGAAAAGGGTTTTTTTAGATTTATTTTTAATTATAAATCAAGGTGTAACTATTGACATTTATCTACGACAAATAAAATGCAGAGAGACTCAACAGCAGGGATTGCTGCTGCCTGCAAACGTCCCTCTTACTTTCCCTCCTCTTCCACCTCTTCTTCTTTATGTGATACAGTTCTGTATAGAGATGAATGAAAACGGTTTGTTAGCCCTCTGCAGTTGCTGCAGCTGTCCATGTCCCAGGAAACCACCAATGGTTCCATTTCCTGAACTGGCTGTAGTAATGAACTGAAAAGGAGAAATCTGCAGTTTCTCGAGTCTGAGTAAAAGCTTGGAAAAGGAGATTGTGTCATAAGTCACAGAAATCTAATGCTGGGAAAATGCAGGCTTCTGGTCATGTATTCAGCTTGGCACAAGGATTTGCTTGGCAAACTGAAAGGGTTCAAGGCCAGCACTGGACCTGGCAGCTACTCAGACCCTTCTGGACACTCTGAGAAGGACAGTACCTGGATCTACTCCCTTTCCATAGTCCCTTTCCAGTATCTTATCCACATTTCTCCTTCTCCCATTCTTCCTTGTTAGTGGTCATTCCCCGAATTCAGTGCCTCTGTTTTGCATCTCCATGGCAACGTCATCCCTGGCACACTTTGTTCTTGTCCTGCAGCAACATGAGGGTAATGAGGTTTTAATAAGACTTCAAGGCTGGCACTTCCAATTAACTGTCTGGAAAAAGAAAGATCCTGCACTGATTACTTTTTCCTTACATTTCTGAAAATAATCAAGATCCATTTCCCACAATATTTCTTTGAGTCAAGGCTCTAGTTTCTGGTTTTTAGCTCTACTGGAGTGCTATCCTTACGAAATGGCTACTGGAGCAGCCTAGAAGTAGCAGATGAAATTTCAGGATGGAAATTGATCACAGTTCAGTGAATTTTAGTGGGGAATTTTCTTAAGAATAAGAAACTCATTAGTTTATACACACTTCAGATGCCTTGTTCATAGTCCAAAACATGTATGAAAGGCTTCAAGGCTGAAAAGAGACGGATTTTCTGATTTCTCTTTCTTATTTGCTCTTAGTCTTAGCAACACATGAAAGCATGAGAATGTTAAGGAGTATTTTTTTCCTTAGGTGTAAAACGGAGATAGCTTGTACTTGGGAATTCCTTCATCCTATGTGAAGAGATTTCAAGCACACTGTAGTTCTGAACACAGAAACTAAGTTTTAGAGGCAATCATCAAAGTTCTGGCAACAAACCCAGCTTATTAATAGGAATATCCTCTGCATGACATATGTGCCGTTAAGCCTTCCCAAGGGTGATAAATGATCTGGAAGAGCAGATAAGTGGTGCTGAAGTATGCAGTTTGTGACAGAACATCAGGTCGTCTTCCTGCCAAGTTGTCCGTCTGGAGCACAAAGAGACAAGAACTTGGATGGTTTTGCCTTTGCCAGCAAGAGATGCAGTGATTAAACTCTACAGGAAGCATGAACAACCTATAAGCCTTTTGTAAAAAAAAAAAACAAACAAAACCAAAAACCAGCAGCAGGAACAACTTCCACACAAAGAAGTTTATCAGGACTTTTCTAGAGACCTCTATAAAAAATGGATCCTGTTAATTTAAAGTGGCTATGTAATTAGCAGGTCAAATCACAACTCTACTTATATTAGAATATTCTTGAAAGTAATCCAGAAGTAACATACTTTTTACAGGTTGTGACTATGTCACTATTTAAAAACACATTCACCACCTTCTCTTAAAACCTCCTGAGAGGCGAGAAGCTAACTGAGAGTAGTTAAACTCAGGGTGGCAATGCAAAAAAACCAAACAATGTTTTTGATCAGGAAAACCTGAGACACGAAGAAGGAGAAAGGGACAGAAGAGAAGAAGGACAAGCGTTGTTTTAATGTAGCTTCTGCACACTCCAGATCCTAAACATAAAGTGATTTATCTACTGCATGAAATTTTCTCCCAGATCTGTATCCCCAAACTATAGTTGGCCAGTGCCAAAGGATTGCAAGTATTTAGTTTTCTTTGCTTCTCATTTTAAGTATATCTATGGAACAGGTCACTGAAAAATGGGAAGAAGATCTTTCTTTCCTGTTTTAGTTATACCTCATCATAAGCCATCTGCTATCACAGCTTTACATTTGTGCAGTATTTATGTGAATTCAAAGTGTGTGCATTGGAACACACCAGCTCTCTGCCTTTCCAAGATGTTAGGTGGATGGCCAAGGAGTGCCTGTAAGGCACTGGGGAGTACGTTACTCTGAAGCGTACGAGAGCTGCACCAGTATGAAGGGATAATTGTTAATTGTTGGTAGTCTTTTGGTAGAGCAAAAGGAAACAGGGAAACAAATGTAACTCATTAAAATTTCTGGAGTAAGACACTTCCCTGAGGAGGAGGAGGCGGCATGTTGTTTTGCTTCTTGTTCTTTGCTTTTAAGGAACATCCTCACTAATCTTCATGAAATACAGTGTGATGCTCTCTGTTCCTTTTATGAAATGTTATGTAGAGAATATTCTCAGATTCTCTTAAAGAATTTGTCTGATTACTTAAGTGGTAATTTTTTGTTTGTCTTTAACGTAAGGTGTGCTAAAGTAAATGCATGAACTTTTTATATTCTTTACAAAGTTCTAAATAGTTCTAAATCCATTCTTATGTTCTTTTGTTCCCACAGAAGTCAGTTGTTTGAAGACAGAAGTGTACAAAACAGCAGCAATTCTGATTTTGTGTTTGGAGAAAACATGGTTGAGAGAGTTTTGGTAAGATCTGTAAATGCTGGCAGACTTTTTATCAAGGTTAATGTACTTATAATTTTTTTCAGAAATTGATCCTTTTCAGCTCCTCCTGTTCTTTTAAAGATGTGAGTAAATATGATTCCAATGACTGTTGAGGAGAAAATATCTAAGTATTTGCTGTAGGAGGGATAGGCATCCCTATCTTCCCCATCCTAGATAAGTACTCTTAACTACTAACCCATACCAGTATGCACCACTTCTCTTTTGCTCATTTTTTGACCTGAAAAAGCAGTTTTTTATATATTCCATGTAAAGTGGGACAGCCACAATAGAAGATAAAAGAATGTAGTCCCCACCGCTCTAATAGTTTCCATCATAACTGTTAGGAGATGGGAGAAATTAGTATGAGGGGAAAATTGAACACCCATCCTAGATACTGTCCAACTATATTGTGCACACTGTGAGACAGCTTAATGGATCAAGTCCTGAAGGAAACTCAGACAAAAAAGTGGTTCCCAAGCTGAGGACTGCACCATTTAAAATGGAATTGAAATTCAATTTCTAGTAGAAGTAGAATGAAAAACAGTATGCATATCTGCCAGTGAAAACGCTTGGCAACCATAGATCTGGGTTATGACTTCTGACCAGGATTTAGTTATAAGGTAGGAGCTGAGCCACTGGGCATTGTCAGGGGCCAGAAGCATTCATTTAGATATGCCTAAGAAACTTTATCTGGAAATATATTAATATTAAAGGAAATTTTTAATTCCTCTGAGGGTTTGTGGTATCTGGGAATTTTGAACTATTCTTCTGGGGCTTAAGTGCTCTAACTGGAAATGAGCTGGTACTTAAACATCTAAGTCTTTCAGTGGATTTAAATCTAGTCCAGGATCCATACAAAGAGACGATTCTTCTTGGTGGAAAATGATGCACTGATTTTATGATAATAAAATTACTTCCACTAGAGACTGAAATTGTCTGGGTCAGTTTTTACTCTTCAGATACTACAATTGCTGATCTTCAGCCTAGCGTGCATTAAATGATTCAATGTTCTGTTTGATATGAAGTAGCACAGCCATTTTATTTAAATAGGAATTCTTATTTCCCCTGTTTCTTTCTAGAGTCCTGAAAAGCATCCCAAACCATGTAATGAAGGTGATTCATACAAAGGAGAAATAAGATCCATGTACATAGAATCTTTTCCTGTCAGTCCACAAGCAAGTAAGCATACTCAGCAAACAAGTACAGTTATCTTTGTTATTATATATTTTGCTGTATCTTAGAGGGTGTCAAATGAGTGGTGGTCAATAATTTTCATCTATTTTCAAGTTACCCAGTCACTAGTACACTTGCAGTATGTGTCAAAATCTGTGTTTGGAAAGCAGCTCCAGTTTGGTTTATGATATTTGAACTGGACTAACTTCAGAATGAATGATCTAGTTATTCAGGAAAGGATAGAGTTTTACAGATTATTATTAAGTACAGAATATTATTATTTATTATTTGAAAAAAATGCAGTGAACTTTGTGAATGCCTTTTGGACCGCATCTTTGAACTACAATTTTAAGCTGTTGGCTGCTTGTATTTTGTGACTGCTTATATAAATTACTTTGCCATATTTGTATCCTAATTGTAGGATTGAAACTTCGATACAGACAGATTTCAGGGTTTTTTTGTGACTCTGGCATGAGCTTTTCTGCTAGGCAAGCCACATAAACTTAGGCTGTCAGGGAATCCCAAGTAGGCCCCTATCTTGAGCCCTCTTGCCAAATTTTGCACCCCTCTTTACTAATGGAAGTATTGGATCCTCTTACTTTGTATGAATGTTCTTACAAGTAAAAAAAAAAAAAAAAAAAAATTAAAGCCTATGGAAAACATCTAGATCATAAAAATATACAAAATTTTGTAACAATGTTGTTCCTTTCAAATCTTGTCCTTTGGTGTTCGGGTCAAGTATTCATTGTATATGTGTTACTATTCTGAATATTGGGATAATTGTCTTTCGTTATTTAGTAATCTGCACAGCAATATGACAGACCAGTTTCATTTGGAAAATCAACTTCTAATTATTTAGGGCTCGTTTCTGCAAATTGTCCCTTGGGGCAAACCTCTGCAACTGCGGAGAGCCCTGTTCAATTCAAAATCAGCCTAAACAGGTGAGATATTTTGCAGTATTCCAGCCTTTTTCTCTTCTATTTACTGCTTTAGCCAAAAACTTATTAATAACACTAATACCAGACATCACAAGGATTACTGAAGTCACAGGCCATCCTATGTGCTAGTTTTGTTGTCCTGAAAATATTGCCTGTAGAGAAAGGATTTCCTCTTTTTTTTCCCCACAGAAACAGCTTTGTTAAAGAATACAACACTAATTGAATCAGCAGCTGCTTTTATTTCCAAGCCAGTGGAGAAAATTCTGTTAGATAAAGTTGAAGTTATAACTGGAGAAGAAGCAGAACACAATGTATTACAGGTGTGTACTTCATAAAGCCTTGATGGTGAGCAGTTTTGTTGTTGAAAAGAACATCTAGATCTATTACAGATTGCAGCAATCTGAAAATAACTTCAGTTTATATTTTAAATTTTAACTTTTCTTAAGATATGCCTCTGTTAACCCATTTTTCTGTAGGCTGCTATTTTCTTTTTCGTATTATATTTGTTCATTTTATAGTTCCTTTCAGTAGGTGACTGCTTCAGAACTTCATTCTACAGTTGTATTTTATAAGCGTACCAGCAGTAACCCAAACTCCAAAATTGGAAGTGATCTGAGTAAAGACTTTTTTATGACAAAACTTTTTTGGGAAAAAAGCAATGCGTTGTCAAAGTAATTAGTTTTATAGTTCATCTAAAATATCAATGAACTTTCTAGCCAAGCAGGACGTATCTTGCTATTCTTCATCTTCAAACTGTTATTTTCTCAGAAAATAGCAATGATGTATATGATTTTAAAAATCTTAACATTGAAAGTTACATTTTTTTATCATTGATTAAATCTTCTGTCCTGTCAGAACATGGAAGTTTTACTCTTTTTGGAGTAGTACTCTCCCAGTAGTGGTACTGGTATCCTGGGCTGCATAATGTTTCTAATGAGTGAGGGAGTAAGACTGTAAAACACTTGCAACAAATTCAGCTGTGCTAGTGGGTATCACAGATGAAGAGTTAATGAAGATGAAGTAATTGAAGAAGTAAACTGGGATTCATGTTGAATGTCTTCCATGACTAGCAGAAAGTTTAGCAGAGATCTGGGAGCCATTTCATTTTAAGTAATAATGGTGATATATCTATATATCTATCTTTGTATACATGCATATATGGATGTATTAAGAGCCATATCAAAAGGTTTAAAACCATAAAGTTTTAGAACCAATAAAATTGACATTGGCTGCCAATTTCCATCATGTATTTCTCTTTCAGATCAACTGCAAGCTCTTTATATTTAATAAGCTTTCTTTAACCTGGATTGAAAGAGGCAGAGGATCCCTGAGGCTTAATGACACTTCTAGTGGTAAATGTGGACTGTTGCAGTCAAGGCTAAGTAAGAATTAAATAACGGAGTAACACATACACAAAACACTAAATAACTTGTACTATTGCTGGCCAGAATAAGTTTAGTTCAGAACATTTAAAACTGAGTAGCTAGTTTTATTTAAGTCAAGTTGCTGAGAATCTTTTTAACATTGCCTGATAAAGGAAGCTGTGTTATGGACTGAGGCACTGGGCAGTTTTCACTCAGTTTGTACCCTCACGCTTGCATATGTTGTTAGGTTCTGTGTGTTTCTACTGCAATGTATCTTTAGCTCAGTCACCAGTCTGACAGTTTGCTCTTTGTTGATTCTGCTTTTCCATGAGCACTGTTTCAAGTCACTTCTGGAATGTTGTTTTTACTGTGCTGTCATTTTTTGTACTGTATTGCACAGTTTCAGCACATTATTTGCTTTGTATGCCAGATGTATTGAAAGAAACTAATACATTTTGGTATTTAAAAAAATAATTAAAAAAACCTCCTCACCATGTCAGGTTTTAGACCAAATTAAAAAGAGTAATTCATGAAAATACTAGTTGCATACAAGTGGTAAAGAAAACTGCTGCAGTAAAAATGAAGATGGTTCCAATGACTTATCATATAAACCTTCTTATTTTAGTTATGCGAAATCAAGGCAGCTTGAGACTGATTCTCAACACCCGACTCTGGGATCAAATGGTTATAAAAAAAGCAAACAGAAAGAGCCTGTGCTTCACTGCAACAGACCAAGAGGACCACTCTATTCAAGTATTTCTGATTCAGGTAAGCAAGAGATAAAAACCCCACCCAAATCCCCATTTCATCTTGGACTCCGGAGACTTGCTGAGGCTTTGGTTTTAGCAAATGGCCTTTTATGCCCTGTCACGCTATGCTTAGCTTAGCTGTTACGTGGCTTTTATTACGAAATGAGTTAGAAGTGCTGTCCTTTGGTATTTAAAAAAAAAGGTGTGAAGATGGGATATGGCCTTAGGACAGACATTTCCAGACTCTGTTTCTCATACCGCTGATGGAATGGGTATCATTCCAGAGTCATATGCAGCAATTACTCTTTCTTACGGAAGCAACACTGTAAGAATTTCTACACGGGTAGTTACGTGTTCATAAGTTACTTTGGTACAAGGCAGCAGCTTTCTGCCATGGTTCTTGACACAGTGCTTGCAATAATCCATCCAGTGTAGGACCTCCATTCCTCAGTTGAGGAGAACACAGATTTTGCAGTGTCACCTTACGTAAGACAATAGTCTTGGGAATCCTGGTTTTCTCTAGCAAGGGCTGATAAGTTGAGAATGGAAATGTGGTGGACTTATTTGCAAATAAATAGCACATATGTCCTAGGTTGGGAAGTGAGAGTATCCACGTGAGTTTAAGGACGTCTCTGGTTTCCCCAGTAGACATTTCTGGGAAGGGTTCAGCCTCCTGGGCAAGAAAAGTAAATCACCACTTCCAGGAGGTGTCACATGTCATACACAAGCAAAGCACCATGCACTGTATGTGCAAGCACTGTAAGACTATCACTTTCAAACAGTGACTGACTTAACTATGGCTGTGCTGCACAGCTGGTCTGCATGTGAGAATTAGAAATGTTCTAGATTTCCAGATGTGCTGCAGTTTTTCTAGCATATATAGATGTAAACATTCCTAAATTCTGTCCTGGCACTTCTGGACTTAAAAAAAGACATGTATTAGGAAACCAAGATACATGACAGCTGTATGTGTGTGGCAAAGGTTGCAGGAAGCTGCCTCTACAGTCGTCACTGAAGCGGCTGGTATCCATCCCTATAGCTGGTACCCAGCCAAACTAACACTGAGACTCCTGAGTGTGGAAGGCAAATTGGTCAATGCGTGAGACACCCAGCAGGCATCACCAAAGCCTTGGCATGTAAATCAGGCTGGACTAGTAGTCAGCGGAGCCCACTCCTCCAAGGCACCAGCAGATATTTTTCACTGCCATTTAAATTTGTTTTTCCCATGTCACATGAATGATACATTTGGTTCATTTATCCAAAAGGCTTCTCATGAGTGAGGGAGAAGAGTCATATGATGCTGACTACAAAGCAGGCAGTCCACAAGACTCCCATTAGATTGGTCCTGTAGTAGTCACCCAGGTTTGTGCAGAGGGCTGACGCTGCCCCCTCCCCTCGTGCTTGTTTCTCCCTCCTCACTTTTGGTGGCATTGGAATTTGTACAGCTATGAGTGAGGCACATCAGAGAACTGATCTGGGTGGTTTTGTTCATTTTTGCTAAGTTAGTTTTTTAGCTTGATTTTATTCACCTGTTTTCACCCTAATGGTGAGGGTAGAAATGAAGAGTCAGAGGATGTATGGAGGTGAGTCCACCCCTCTTGGCAGAAGCTGGAGTTCATGTTAGATTAAAATGACAGAGGAAGCCTGGCTTTTGAATGAATAAGTAGAAAGCTACAGATAGAAACGGTCAGACTGAATAGCTGCCTTTTTCATATTTATGACCCTACGTTTCCTGAAAAGCTGTGTTATCTTGAGAGCTCAGATTTGTCCACTGAGAACTGCATTTGTAGTTGAGACACCTAAACAACTCTGAATTGCTTTCTTCTTTGCCTGGCTGTAGGGAGAGAATTGTTTGCTGCTGCGAGTCTGAGTAGCACAGAAGGCAACCCTGATCTGCTGCTGCTTCCGAATTTGCGTAGCTTTTCCACTGGTACTCACTGAAATGTGTCATTCCAATCCACACAAGACATACTTCTTCCCATTGCCAAGTGACACAGATAGAAATTATTCCACATGATGCACAGAAGTGGAGAACTGGGCTACAGAAAAGACCACATGCATTCAGTTACCCTCTGGTAGATGATTTGCTTCGTAAGAACATAAGAAGTACTCTACTGGCACTTCTGACAGCGCCCAAATGCAGCGCTTCTAGGAAGCACAAGCAAGCATGCCCACTTTGTATGGTCTGTTCACCTCATCGAGCCCCAGTGTCCGTGTGTTGTATTAGGCATGTGAGAGCATGCACCCCTACTTGTTTCCTTTGCTATCTATTTTATGAAGTGATTGTCCCTGAATTTTTCTAATTCCTTTTTTTAAACTTTTATTACTATATTTTTGGCCTGTTGTTTTTAGTTTATACTGTCTGGCCCCACTCTCTCTTGAGGCAGCAAATTCTAGAAGTTCTTACTCACTCTGTGAAGAAGCACTTTCTTTTACGCTGCTCCTCTACGGCTTTCATTAAGCGTACCCTAATGCATTTATTGTGTGGTCTGATGAACAGCTGTACCACATTCAGTTTATCCACCCCTTTTATAATTTTGAAAACCTTAATTATACCCCCTTCTCATCCTTCTCTTCACACTGAAGAGTCTCAGCTCTTCATAAATAGCTGCACCACACCCTTGATCATTTTTGGTGCCCTTCTCTTTACCTTCTTTAATTCTGCTATATCCTTGAGATGTGATGACCAGAGCGGACACAGTACTCAAGACATGGCTGCTCGAAGGTTTTATGTACTGGCAAAATGCTGCTTTGTCTGGTTCCGAATACCCTTCTTGGTGATGCTCACCTTCTGTTCAACAATAGGAGCAGAATTCATGGTATCTTTAAAATTTATAATCACAAATAATTTTTTGTAGTTACGTTTTAAAATTCTTATTTATTCTGTAAACCAAAATGCAATACATATATTAACATTTCAGTGCTTTATTACTTCTAGAATCATAGTCAGGAATTGTCTGGAATATCAAGTACTCAGTACAAACTGAGCCGTTCTTCAGGGGAAATAATAATTTTTAAGCTTATGTTTCTTGTAACTATAGAGAAAATAATCAACAGCTACATATTATAAAACTCAGACCACTTAAACTTGACGTTACTTGTATTTAAATTTATTTTCTAAAATTAATTATTAAGTCTGAATCTTCAATGGATTGTTTTGATTAAAAAGGACAAAATACAGCTCTTTCATTACTTTTGAAAATTCCTCAGTCAGCTTCTCTGTGAAAAACTGTGATTTTTCTCAGTTAGTTTGGACTGTATGCATTTTATCTTCTGCAGGCAAGCTCAAAAGACACTGGATACCTCTATGCAGCAATTCATCACCGCCTTGTGGCACTGCGAAGCTTTGCTGAGCAAGAGCCAGATGCTAATCAAGCGGACACAGAGTCAGAAATAGCTTTTCAGCCATTAAACTGTGATAGCGATGATGAAGATGATGAAAAAGTAACTCAAGTGAGCAGCAGTGGATCAGGTAAGCAGAAACTTTCCTGTAATCCTTTCAGGGTAAGCAATGAATATTGCACTTCTTTTTTTTTTCATGCTGACTATAACTTTCATCTGTTACAAATACGCCTTTCCAGGTAGAAGAGGGTAATTCCTTTTAGTATTTTGGCTTACTACCGTTAAAATGCAAGGTTTTGCCAGATGAAGTATCTACACATCTTCATAGCAGTGGAATACTCTTTTGACAAAAGGCTGAGGGTTAAGAGATCTTAACATTGTCAAGCTTTACCTAAAGGTTTCTTCAGTATATTTAAGTAGAAATGACTAGAGGTATTGAGATACTAGTTGTTACTTGAGTAAGTGAAAGTTGAGTCCATTCACATCAGCGCTTAGGTAGTTACTAATGGCTTCAAGCATAACGTGTTTACAAAGATATTTCTTATGCACTGGTTAGCTTCATTTAAAACACTGATTCTTGATCAGCTGTAACAACTACCTCACTAGGAAATTTGCAGGTCAAGATTTACACACCAGTGTTGCCAGCTTTCTTCAAAATAACAAAAATGTAGGCTCCTCAAAGTGAAGCATACAACTAAAACAAGATACAAGGGGAAAGTTGCTAACTTAATCCTACTCTAGAAGCTGTTAATACAGCTCACAACAAGGCTGGGGTCACATTTGCAGAAAGCAAGGCAGAAACAGCTGTCAGACTTCAAAGCTCTTCTATCTTAGCAAAAGACAAGTCATATTTCTGGGGCGAATTCACTTGCTTGTGCCAAACTGCTACAGTGGATACAGGAGCTGCCAATTACGTTCAATTTTTCTAATAGAAGGACTACAGCAGGCATGTTTGAGTTGTTGCTCATAGCATTAGTTTCCCTCTTCAGCTGAGTAACATACTGTCCTTATATTATAAACTCCTCCTTTTAACAACTATTCAACAAGAATCAAGTCATGTACGAGTAACAGCTATGAGTGACTGTTAGCTTAAGGAAGCAAGTCTTTTTTCCCCTTTAGGCAAGTTTGCAGTTGCAGTTTGCAGTCCTTGTTCCCATTATTAATTGTTGTTTAACTACATTTCAGTAGCATTCAGTGCTCTAAACAAAGCATGATGCTCTTATACAACATTTTTTCACAAGTACCTTTTTTCTGTTTAGGAAATGGGAAAATTATTAGCTCTGAGAACTCCCCGGATTGCTCCCAGATAATCAAACATTCCCTCTGTAATTCCTAAATAAGTCTCTATTGACTACAAAGAGTTTCTGGTAACTTGAAAACTCTGGATGGAACTTGATTCCTTTCCAGAATTACTGATGATAAGAACCCTTTGTTCTTTTAGGGAGAAAAAAAAGAGGGGAAAGGGATGTCAAAGCAGTGTAGGAGCACAGATTTACAAGTTAAATATTTATTTTGATTTGCAGAGACTTCTGATACAAATGTTCAGATGGCAGCCAGCAAACAGATTCTGAGATATGAGTGTCAGGTGCTGTTTTTTCTTGACCTTTTAGTTTAACCATCTTTCATTTATGACCAGTTACTGACAGCAGTTCTAACAGTCCCTTTCAAGTGCTTTTTTTGATGACTTTGAGCATTTCCTGCTTATCTTAATCTCTTCTATTATTCTCAGAGCCATGAGGTTTTAATTTTGCATAGATTTCAGTTACTGGTATCCAAGTCCCACTTTACATGCAGACATTCACATCTTACACATGCCTGTCCCTGGAACTCCCATTTCCAAAACAGAAAGAAAAATATACCTCGTGGGTTTTGAACAGGTTGAGGTCAGTTTTAAATATCAGTATGGAAACGTCCATTGGGATGTAAGAGATCAGATCCTGCACATTTAAGAGCATTTGTTTTAAGCTTTCATTTTCATGCTTTCATTTCATTGAAAAGGATGTGCGTGAATAAGTTGTCTCGTTTTTATTGATGTAACTCAGTTTCAGAGATTACCTCTCCTTAAGACTACTATAAATGACTGTTTCATTACAAGAAATAGTTAGAAAGTATGCCTGCATTTTACTTCATTCCATTCTACCTGTTTTGTCTCAAAAAACCCGATAGTTCTTTCTTTTCTTAATATGGGGACTTTCCTTCTTGTTAAACTGAACTAACACAGTTCCCTAGATTATGCTATATATTTCATGACACTGTAAAAGACAGGAAAAAATAGATGAGAATTATCTCTAGTTCTAGAGACTGAAGAAGAAAGCAAATATGATACACATAATAAGTGAAGTGTTACGAACATTAAAGTGATTCTATATGTTTGCCAGACATTTTTGTAGGAATTTTTTACACAGAATTCCTCATTATAACATCCACAGGATGTTAATGCTCTACAAGGACAGGTGTATAAGTAGTAGATATATTTCTACCATTTTACAAATTCAGTATAGGCATCTACCCTAATATTTTTTTAAGTCTTTAATTGAGTTGCTTTACTTTCAAGTGGAGATATTAATTTCATATAGTCCATAAAGAATAAGTTGCTGTACCTGATATTTTTATCAGATCATATTTCACCAGTTACAGCTTGGATATTTTTACCAACAAATTGCTCTGTAAATCTACGTGGAGAGAAAAAGAACAATTCATCTTTGAACAGATTTTGAGAGTGGATGGGATCAATAACTCTCTGGGAAGTATTCATCTTTTCCCACTGACTACAAAGTGAACTGAGGAGATGAATTTAGACTAGACAGCAAACTTCTAGGCTGACCAAAGTCAAGCAAATCTCTTCTTCCATTTCTTTCGTTGCTGATTTATTTCTGTGCTAAGTATTGTAACTATGTTTGCCTCCAGCTGTCTTTGTAATATCTAGCTGAAGAAAGATCAGCAGAATTCTTTATTATGCATATGAAAAACTTTCTCACGAAATAATTTAACAAATAAAACAATAAAAAAGCTGATATGGCAATGTGTGAATGATTGGACCAAGAGTGCTCCCTTCTGAGGGAAATGCCACTGGCCTCAGACAGTTGCATGACTCTCACCTTTTGTTTTTCCTCTTCTCGAGCTTGTAAGCCTTACATTCTTTGCTCTGTAGTATATCTGCTTCAACAAATAGAACAGAGAATTCCCCTTAGACGGGCATATAGAAGAGTCTAGTAAGGGAGCATGGTCTCCTGGCAGGCAACGAGTTGCACCTGACCCCTGTGGATAAAGAGGACCTAGCACCCTATAGGTCTGTGTCTGGGGCGTGTTTTGCAATGAGTAACATCATGTCAAACTGTTGCCACTACCTCCTCCTGCTTTGCTAATAGCCCTCAACCATCCATTTGGGGCTTTCCTGTATGTTAGCAGATCAGTGTCAGGTATTTGTGCAAACAAAGTCTTCTGTCTCCTGTTTTTTAAGCACCTTCACTACAGGCAGTTACAAATTCAGCACGTGGGAGTATTGAGTTGCACTGCTAATATGCATATATTCCATATATATATTATTGGACAGACAGTTCTCTAACGTAGACAACTCTTGCAGGGTGCCCATCTCTTCCCACTGGCAGCATAAACAAACAAGGTACCTATGTCAGGCTCAAAAAATCATCCTGCCAGGACATGGATCTGTTAGAGTCCAACACCTAAGCTTGCCATTGGTAGCAGGTGATCTGAAGTCAGTACTTAGATCCATAAGTGACTAAGATGTCTCCGAAAATGTTACTCCTTGCTTCTGACACCTCTAAGAGATTTTTCAATGTCTTCCTCATAGCCATAAGGAGATTCTGTTCTTGCTCCAGAAGAATGCATTTTGTTTACATTTAGAAACAGGTGCTGTTTCCATCATGGTTATCAGAAATAGCAGAAGGTTCTTAAAGTGTTGTAACCCCGTTAGTATTTAGAAAGAACTGTTATTCCTTAGAGGCATAAGGCATTTATGAAGTATGAAATGTCAGTCATAGTAGTAGAATAGCATGGGGCTATATGTTGTACGGTTCCTATGATTTCCATCCTTTTCCCTTTTCTGATTTTGCAGGAATTTGTCTGTTTTTATCCCCGAGGGGGAACAGAGAAGCTGGAAAAGTACATGCAAGGGACAAGGATGACAGTGTCACTAGGCAAAGAAATGCTTTATGCATTATTTGTTATACTGCACCTCACCAATAACTCTCTTAAATCTTCTCCTAACTTCATCCTGATTGAGGGTTACTCTCTTTTGATTGAGGTGTCCTCTCTTTCCTGGCATGGAATTTTCTTTTAGAAGCTGTTAGGGTGAATTCAAAGATGCTGGAGTCTAGGACTAGGTAAGTCCCAAGAAGTTTCTCCATACGTAGCCATAGACCTTAAGAGAAAACTATAGTGTGCAAAGACATAGTGTGTCCCATATGGGTCCACCAAGAATTGAATGGATTTTGGAGACTACTGATGTTGAGAGCCGGACAGTATCATACCACAGAAGTGCAACCTTTGTTTTATTTTAGAGATGTCTTCTAGTCCACTATACACGTACCTCCCATGTTGGCCTCATTCGGACTCTTGTCATCTGCTGGTGTTTATGAAGATTTAAAATGTTATAAGAGCTTTTTTTATTTTTAAGTAAACTACTTTTGCAGTTCTTAAAGGAACTACTGTTCAGCAACACCATAGGAACTCCTGAAAAACTGCTATCTTTGACATTTCTTGTCAATCTAATTTAAATTCTAAACAATTGTTAAGGATTCTAAATCATAAATCTAACACACACACACACACACACACACCCCTGATAGTGATTAAAACTGAGGAAAAGTTAAGAATTAACTTCTTCGTTGGAGTCCAAGTTTCTGTATTCTTTCCAGCAGTTATCAGTAACATCTGAAGCAGAGAAGAAAAGACAGCTCTCTGATTGGAAAGGGGGGGGATCAGATTTAATATTCTGACAAACACAAGGCCTTTCATTTCACCTGTAAGAGGTTTAAAACCTTTAGTAAGTATTTAGCGGTGGCCAGATGGTAGTAGCAATTTTTAAGCAGATACTGAGACAGTGATATTAATGTGTCTGGCATTAGCCAGCTATATCTACTTTCTGCAGATGAGTCAAAGTCATAGAGATTATGCACCAGAAACACCCCTGGGTACTTTATGATGACCAGTGAGTTATTTGAAGACATGTTGGATTTCTCAGTTTACTGAGCATCTATGATGAAATGTTAAGACAGTGTTTCCCGTACAGAGCGAGATGATCTGCATCCCAGACACACTGTCCTATCTAGACATCTGAATCCTTAGTGCTTCTGTGCTTATCTTTATTGACATGGGAGGTCACAGGCTTCATTCACTATTCACATGCTCAAATATTTGTGAATAATCCTGTGTTATCTAGTTAGATATTTACCTAAACCAGGAACTGATCATATCCAAACTTTAACCTACTGCTTTGGTATTATGAAATGCCGGGTTGTTTCAAAACACGAATACACTCAAATGAGCAAGATTTCTTAAAATTCTTTTTCAGATCATTCTAGATGGAACCACAGGCAGTCTGTAGTCTGCTCGTGACACCTACCAGAGGTTACAACAGCACGGCTGGGAGCTCATCTTCCCAAAATGTCTAAGCTGACTCATCAGTCCCTGGAGAGAGGAAATCAGATGCATTTTGCTTTATGACTTTTAAGCAAAGATTAATTTTAGGGACAGCTTAAGTTTAATACATTGAAAAAGAATTTAAGATGCACTTCTAAGGATTCCAGTCAGCCTGCTTTGCACTGAGATGGGAATGACACAATGGCTTCCAATATTCAAGAAGTGTTAAAAAGGCTTCAGATTTAGAGTTAAATATATTTAGATGCATTGTTAAAGTAAGCAATTTTATAGGTAATAAATGTTTATTCATCATATTGATGGATAAAACCGCATAACCATGAACTAGTAATATACATGAAGAGATATTTGTTACTTTTCACCTGTTATTTAAAAGATACATTTGGAAAGATTTACATCGGGCTTCACTGAAAACATTTATTTAAAACTGTGTGGTAACATTCAGCATCCTGTTTTTAAGTACAGAATTGGGAGGGGTGGTTTAGCATGACCAAGGCCTATAGAAACAGCCTTCATAGCAAGGTGGTTTTTTGTTTTTTGTTTTTTGTTTTTTTTTTTAATATCTGGAGTTGTATACTGGTTGTAGAATTTTGTTAAAGGGCAAAGAACCACCATCTGCCTTTACAGCCATAAGCACTAGAATTCACCATGAAGAACTGCAAGCCAGTTCTAAGGGGCATATGAGCTTTAAGATCTAGAAGTGTATATGCTTGCACTCATGAACACCTTTTCAGTTGTGCAAAACAAGCACTTACAGTGCTAATTGTCCATTTGATATATGCAAATAAATGCATGCACAGTATAACTAGATATCTGCATAAAATTTTCTCTTAAATGTGTGAGATTATCTGAGATTAGGGATAGCTACAGCTAAGGCAGAAGTAAACAGCATCATTCCTTGAAATAGATGAATGTTACATATCCTGATATGTGCAATAATCCCAACAGTGCCAAAGACCCAGTCACTCTGTAAAAGTGATTCCACAAACTACCGCCTTCTACCTAACCATTCTCATGAGGAATTAGAAAAATCACTTCTCTCTAATGCCACCTGTGAATTAAGACTTACTGGATCATTCATAAGCCCGTGCACAGTACAGACACCATTTACGGTCTGTGTTTTCTATTCATTCTGTCAAAAGATAAAGAAAATATGTCTGCAATCATTCTGCTGCAACTCTCTGCTGCCTTGTATATTGTTGGTTACCAAATATTATTTCTTTGTCATCCTCAGAGCTGAAACGTTCTGAAATATCTGAACTCCTTTTAATTAAGGTAATTGTAACGATTTCTCAGTCTTAAAAGCTGCATCACACCTGAAGAGTCAAACTACAATTTAGTTTTCCCGTCTGAACGTATGTATGAAGTTGGAAGAATAGCAGCTTCTTCCTGAATTCTCAGTGCCCTGTCAAGATTAGCATCCAGATGAAGCTGAACTAGCATCTGGGTTATGCTGAGTCCTAAATAGCCTGCCAAAATTAGCACTTGTCTGACATTTGATTTAGCATCTGGATGACAGTAAGCTTATCGGGACTGGATTTTTGCCTTCAGGAAAAGGGGAGTGCTTCACAACAGAGCACCTGTGTCAAACAGTGAAGCACTGGGATTCTCTTTGACTCTTCAGACTGCCGATAACAAAAACATTCTTTCCATAACTAGCTGTACATCGTGTCCTTTTCTATCAGCCTCATTCCTGACCACAACAGTATTTGCATCACTGACCTTCATATTTCATTGCTGCAGCTCATACTCAGGAACAAAGCTCCACGTTATAAAAATTTCAGCAGTCGTAAAACAAAACAGCTCTATGTATTTAGCAACAGGTCATGGTGATAACTGCCCTGGAGTTCAGCTGGCTATGCACTGAATGCAGAGTTTGATTTCAAAGTCTGCCCTGATAATCAAAGCCTCCTGTGAAATAGGATTTAAGCACCTGAGTGTCATGATAGCCCTCTAAATTCTACTACAGCTGTAAAATCCTTGGTAAATGAAGGAGTGCTCCAGAGCAGGCACAACAGAACTTTTGCAGACACAGGACTGAAACTTTGTCATATGCTCCCACAGCATGGAACAAGGCTTATGATCATTCACAAATGAACTCTTTTGATCTGCCTCTTCCCAAGATCGCTACATGTATGCACAGGTATACGCACAAACACACATGCTCATGCGCACACACTCCTAAACATGAAGCTACGTCTCCTAAAAGCTGAGGAGGAAAAGAATTGTTAAACTATTTTGAAGAGTTTGGATACTGTGGTAATAGAGGACATATAAATACGTGTATGTGCAGACATACTTATGGTATGAATTTTTACTCTTGAGATTGTAATACTTTATTTATTCTATTTAGTCTTATTGCACTAAAATCCATTGTTTCACAAGACTGAAGGTATGCTAATATGTAATAATTAACTTCGTTTTAAAAATGTAAAGTTTGTCATTTTATGACAGCCGGAGCAACAATTTCTGTGCCTGAACAATAAAAAATTTTCTTACCTCTTTAATTTCCATCTAACTAGTTGTCTTATTTTGTGTCCCAGTTAGAGCTTCCTACAGACAGTTCCTTCCACGCTGCAGAATTTCAAGCCTGCTTTCCTAAGGAAACAAGACTTAAACAGTTGTGTACTCCATCCGTTGGTCTGTCAGACCCACTTTGAGCCCACTGTTCAGTTTCAGAAAAAACTGGATGGGAGGTAGAAAGCTCAAAGACGATTTAAATTCTTCATGAAAATTGGCAGTTGCTGAGTGACAGAACTCAGAGGAAGGTATCCTTTGACGAAGAAGTGTCAGGGTAAGCTTGGTATTTTCTGTGAGGCTCATGGGGTTGAGTGGCACGCGCCAAGCTGCAGCGTTTGCTGGAAGGGAAGAGAACAGAAAACCATGGAAGGACGGATACCTGGGATTACTGTGGCCTGAAGAGGGGTGTAGGAACGTGACCCAAATCCATGTGAAACCAGAGATCACTAGTTTGTGGAGCAAGCTGTTCTTCTATGTTTTTTTCAGATGAATGTTATTTATTTATTTATTTATAACAAATCCCAGTGATTAATTCATACACATAAGGGATGCAGAGCTGGAATGTATTATGTATTAGTGCAGTAATAATTTTCAAAAGGAGGGAAAACTAACAATTCCTAATATAAGGCTACATATGCAGATACCTGCCGCTAAGATTATGAGTTTCTGGCAAAATGTACTTGGATGGGATAGCCTACATGGCTTATTTTGCGTTCCGGTGGCGTTTGTATCTCTTCCTAAATCTTGTCACTCGGGTTTTTATATCATGGTCTTTAGTGATCTCTGAATTAGTTTCGGTAAACTGTATGAAGTTAAGAGTTCGGTAATGTCTCTATTGAATGAATAAATACAGGGAAAACCTTTAGCACATTTGATACTGCTTTCAGTGCTACTGACAGCCTGTACAACATGGACAGGGAGGGAAAGAGCATCCTCTTTTCCCTAGCTGGGTTTTAGAGGACCTACCACTGGGGCACGCTGGCAGGAAAGTCTAGAAAAAGCATACATTGCCTGTTCTACAGCAGTTACCTGTCTAAAAAGTGGAGTTCAGATTCCTGAGTCATCTTTCACAGATGCTGAAGTTATTCTTACAAAACAATGTGTCTGCAGCTGTTTGAGCGTATTCAGATTGCTTCTGAAACGTTGAAGTCAGTTGTGTTAGTCCACTTCAGGGACGATGTAGTTTGCTTTGCATAAACAAAGTCTGGGAAGAAAAGTGGAAAAGTAAATTTCTGTTAATTAAAACATACTCTAATGATAAAGTGTGGACAAGACAGCTTGCCCCTTCTCATTAGTTTTGTTTCAATAATTTGCATTCATAAGAATAACTGCATTTATTCTGCTTTTTCTGAAACATCCTCTGCTATTTTGGAATTTATGAAGCAAATTATATGACCCAACTATGTCATCATCGATGAGGGTACATACGTTGCAGTCAAAATGCAAGCACACACGGATAGAATCTGGGATCAGAAATTCAATCAGACTACACCTGCTAATGTGTTCATCTGCCTGCTTTGTAAGATTCTGACGTGTCACATGAGTGACGTATTCTCTAAGCATTAGTCTGGAGTTTTCCTCTGAATAATCAGAATTAACAGCTGCGGTCAGTTGGGCTCAAAATCTGAGGACTCAGTTTTATGAAATGTTACCACGATGGTCTGTTTACCTCCCCCTCTGTGAATGCAACTAACACTGATAGCATTATCATTTTCAGCACAAAGATAGCACTATCATTTTCAGATATCAGTAGTACTTAGGGGCATATAAAATCTAGAGAATGTAAATGATTGGATTAATTAATTATATAACTGGTTATTAATTAAATGATCACAAGAAGGCATTACTCACAGACTTCAATAAGGAGTAGAAAAGAACAGTTGTCCTAGATTGTAACTGCACTAGAAGCAATATTTAAATTCTTTTGGATGAAAAAAGGCTACATTTGGGGACCTTCTTATGTAAAACTGCTTGTACAGTCGTGCATTGCCAGTTTTGCAGCTAGTGTAAAGACTTAGGAATAATTTAGTGTTTACATAGAAAGTTTTCCAGTTATATTGTTTTGTAACACAGAATAGATTATTTTCAGTTTATTACATAGGGGTTTTTTAAAGTCCACTATATAACTTGAAGTATGTAGAGCTAAGGATGCCTGGTTTTTTATGGATTTGGGTCTTGACATTTACCTCATGTATTATAACTCCTTGGTGTCTAAAATGGGCATTACTCTGAAGCTTTTTCCTTACTGCAGGCAGTATGAAGGTATCCATTTCCATAAGGAATTTTTAAGTACTCTGTGCCCAAAACAAAGTTGGTTGTGGTCAGCCAAGGGTTTAAAAATTTATTACAGTGGGAATTCACCCCTGCTCCGTAGCCGTATCCTATAAGAATACCAGGCTAAAATGCCTATGCTTATTAATTTAATTCTGTATGAACGA